GGTGAATTAGCCAAGCACGCCGTCAGTGAAGGCACCAAGGCCGTCACCAAGTACACCAGCAGCAAGTAAACAGTTTACTGTTTGCTACAAAACAACGGCTCTTTTAGGAGCCACCACATGAATCGAAAGATCATGACMAAATGCTTACAAATAAAATTGAAGGCATATATCATAACTGCGGTTAAACCATGATAGTCTTGGAATAATGTAAATGTAATCTTTAATAAGCAGCCATAATAAAAGAACCACTGAGCAAATGTTTCGGACGAATCGCAGATAAATTTTTTTCTCTACTTGTTTTTGTTGGTGCGAAGCGCTCTTTATCTAACCCATAATTATAAAGGCAAGCGATTTCTGACAAGCCTTGATGAATTTTGGACTTAAAGCGCATATACGATCTATTTATTACCCATACTCCTTTTCGTACTAGCCGTGAGAGTTTTGATACTGACAACACAGAAAAGTAAAAGAATACCTCTTCATCGTCGCAATCTTGTGTCCAGTGACCGAACACTACAAATACAGAAAATAAATACATCAATTACATGAAAAAAAATGTGGAGTTTACATCGGCGCGCGGAGACAGGTTGGAAACGAGCTATCTGAATTGTTAACTCGTCTACATGTTAGCTTTTATTTCTACAATACGCTTAYACGCGAATATCCAACCACCACAAATTATTATGAAGACATCATTTACCTTCACACGTGGTACAATACGGTCTTTCTTCAGTTCTACTTCCATGGTGCATTGTTCCGACATCGGTAGGATCAGAGGCCTGAGCAGGGCAGTCATCAGTGTCATGCTCATCAAAAACGTCACAGATGTCACAAAACAACCGCACCTTGAACCGCGGTACTGGYTCTTCGTCTAATTCAGGTCTAAATAGAATAGTAAGAAGTGYAAAGAATATAGATTATAAAGAAATACAACACAAATAACAACAATGATGATGGCGTTATAAAAAGCAACAAAAAATAGACAAGGAGACGACAAAACGTGTCAAATGGTATACCCTGCTCTCCATATGAAATCGCTCTCCTTCTATCACCCAAAACTGAAGTGGTTACTTACGAGTCGAGAAGACCATTTGTTCTTGACCCGCCCGTCACCAGCAATTCTATCCTTTGCTCGTTTTCTTCATTTTTACGCTATTATAAACGAAAAATAAATTAAAATCTTACGTGTACTCTACCTTGATAATGGCCGCTTAGGCCGAAAGCTCGGTATTAAAAATATCACTAGTAAACGCAGAGGACTCATTTATTTTTAGAAATTATGCCTGCGTACAAAGAAATTCTAATCATCACATTTATCATCGCCGGTAAAGAACAAAATACAATACACTAATATACTGTAAGTCCTCTGTCACTGTGGTTTATTGAAATGGTAAATACAGACTCGTGGGAATAAGTTCTTAATATTATAACTGCTGCGGCATGCAGTTACCGAGGTTGAAGTACAGCACTTAGGAAGAATATCCATAATGTTTGTTCCAGCATTATTTTGATTTGACTTCCTCTATGTTACTGTACTTTCWTTAAAACTAACTCGATATTAACCCCCCAAGAAATAATCAAATATGAGAGCTAAAAGAATAGTTGACAAGACAATCGGATGGAAACATATAGAAGGTATGCTATTTTAGACACTCTTACCTGTAAATCTACGATCACAGAATTGAGGAACTCGACCTTGAAAGAAAACAAATTTATGAATAACCGAAATCATCTCCATCGCAACAAATGCAAAACTGCTGAAAATTCAAAAGTTTTGGCGTCACTGAAGCCAGACGTTTTTGATCTCTTATTTCATGTTTTTTGTTGAGATATACCTGAGCGTCTAAGTTTTCTTTTTCTGCTTGTGTAGCCTCAAGGAGATCCTCTGTCTCTACTAGTTTGACAGCGATATCTTCGTTTCCTGTTGTGGTAAACAAGGTTGTTAGGGATATTACACAAGGAAACATCAATTACTGCTATACTTCTTTTACTTTTTTGAAATTCTTTCCCATTTGAAATTCTTTTCCTTTTTCATAAGGGGGTTATCGAAGAGTCACATGGATAGTGGGACATTAATAGAGGCCAAAATTGATAGAATTRAATCAGGTCTCCAATAGGTTTCAGGCGCTAGATAATAATGTSCTGAAAACTACCGTTCGGTCGTGTATTCCTCTTTCTCACCTTGACTTTCTATATTAGAAGACGGCTGCAATCCTGTAGTTGCAATTTGTTTCTTTAGATCCAAAACCTTGGAAAACAATTCATGTTAGTGACAAAAACAATGATTTTATCTTATGACTTTATGGACACGCGTTGACGCAATCCAAATCTGTGGGATACATTAATTTCCGGCTGCGTGTGCGAGTGTTCTTGTAAACCGGGGCCATTATCGACAACAAAGSCTTATGGGAATTGCGATATTGCCCTTTTCATGACCACCCAAACCAACCCCCTGCATTTATACTTTCATTTCAAAAAGAAAACACAAAACCGTATTTTTGGGTTTATCATAGCAGAAATATAGATGTGCAGTCATGGTTTGTTCAATAAAAAACAGTCAGGTCCAGTTTTCATTGCCATAACTAGAGCGCATGCCTCCCCCGATTAGTATTCTGAATAAATTGAAAATATGTACAACTGAACTGATTATGAAATTAGATAGTAAAATGGGTTAGTAGCCCAACTTTAGCTCTAATAGAGAGATATAATTCATGGGGATTTACATGAAGCACTGATGTTAAATTCTTWCATGCCTGACGATAAAACAAGAATCGATTGCTTTATCCCCAGGTAGATCGACAACAACGCATTATTATTTCACATAGGCCTAACAAAGCAGTCTAACATCAAGATGAAATAAGTAGAGTAGAAACAGTTGCACATCAAGACTAGGGAGTACGTGTAGGAAGGAGTATGTCTGAGTACGTACCGAGTCATTGTAATGTTGTCTTAATAGCCTTCGGCTCTGAGCCACGAGGAAAGAGCAAACACGCGTCTTATCCAATCACACTGCTGCAACACGTCAAGGCACAGCAGTACGTTTAGTACACATACAAACAAGATTTCGTATGAGAAAGACACCGCTCTAATTTGCCGTATCGTGACCAGGAAATCATAGCGTGACATTCGWRCCGTGACAAAGAAAAATGTCACGAATCTCAATGAACATTTCTGTTTACCTAAATATTCCTAGAAATGAATCAATTATGTGTACTAATCAATTATTTCTTCTCTCTCTTTTTTATAGGACAATACACTGTACAATAATTACTGCGATATATTTTCACATAGTGGAATTTTTATTTTAACATAGAAAAGTTATTTCATTACAAAAATTTAAGAAATGAGCTGAATCATGTTATTGTCAAATGGCATTCTATAAATGACAAAACCTACAAATCAGTGAMTTTTCCAAAAACAATACGTGACAATCCGAATGCTGTGCCGTGACATTGCGATACCAACTGTAATGTGATTGGATCAGACTCACAGCTAYGGGTAAAACTATTGGCCGTTACGGCATGCCGAGCGACTGACGACACCATTTTGTGTCCTACTCATACGAAATCCCCTTTTGCTGTGCAAATGACTTGCCAAAATCGACAAATCGGGTGCGATACATCACAACGAAATTGTGCAACATCACAATGAAGTGTAATATCATGCATGACATGTATGGTGTGCGTGACGATTTAGCGAGAAGTTGCGTGATAWAGGAAAGAACAGAAAAGTGGACAGTGCATTACGTAATTCGTTACCATAGTTACCTGTTGTCTATATTTCGTAAGTTCATCATCCTTTAGTTTCAATTCATGTCTTGTAGCCTCCAGGTCGTTCTCAATGCTAACGTTCAAGGCTGCCTTGTTATTTTCCCTTAAAAGAAAAGTCACTTAATAAGCAATCATTATCACCAGATTGAGCTCGTAGTACTTGAACACYGAGTACATCCAGGGTTGACAAGGGTGCTATATGCATCCATCCACAAATGCCGTAGAACACAAGGAGGGGACTGAAAATGCCTTTTCAGCGTCATATTTTATCTCTTTCATTCACTTCTAGATCTACCTCCTTAGATCCACCCCTTCGATCTACCGCTGTGAATGGCCTTTTTACCTTTCTATCAGTTTTTCTGAAAGTGACTGTATCTGATCTTGCGCTGATGATAAGGCTTGACTCAGCTGCCAAAAGAAAATCGATTTACTATCGTCTTAGAGCGTTGAGGAATTTGTGGGAGTGTTTTACCTCTGAATTACAACTTTGTGCGTCAGATTTCTCCTGGTTTAGAGACTTGATTTGCTCTTGAAGTAAGGTACTCTGCTCCTCTAGAACCACKGCCTTCCTGCTGAACTGATCTCTTTCAGCCTTGATGTGTTCCCTAACATGTAATACAACATTTCTGAACTTAAGAAAAGCAAAAACCTTAAATAAATAAACCATCCAATCATGCAGCCATAAACTCAACCCCAAAYAACAAACCAACTTGAGCACYCATCAATAGCAAACCAACCAAAAACCATTMATCCGACCAGTCAAACAATAACAAGTTAGTTCCAGTAAAACACAACTTTCCAATCATGTTGTATTATTTCAAATTAAAAACTAGTATTTATGTATCTACAGAGTATCCCCTTATCAAACTGACAAGGCTACCAATCAACCAATCACCTATCAACAAATAAAACAGACAACAGCCAAGAAAAATTTTCAGCCAATAAACGAAGCAAATATAGACATCTTGGGACGCACGGGTGGCCGAGCGGTGAGAGCGCTGGCCTGTTACCGTGTAGACCATGTGCTTTGAGTTTCTTTCGTTCTCTCCCTTGTGTCGAGGGTTTTCCTGGTCTTTCCGGGTTTTCCTCTCAGTAAAAACCATTTCTATGATTTCTATCTGCTGTGCTCTGCATTCAGTCGAGGTTACTATGTGAGGAAGCGCATAGCCGGCACCACGCCTATGTGTAAGTGTGTGTAAAATGTGTCTGTAATATAGCACTTCGACTTGAGCGCGTCGAGCTGCGTCTTTTGCAATTTAGCACCCGTGCTGCCATGAAGGACGATTAGCACCTAACCCAACCCAACCCAACACATCTACCCATCGAGTAATCTAATAATCATCAGTGAACAACAAATCAAACTGTCAAACAAAAAACTTACAATCGAGTCTGTAATTCAGTAACTTTTGAAGCTCCATCAGTTGCAGAAGATTTCACCTGTACCAGTTCTTGTTCCTTGTTAGAGGACTCAGTTCTAAGGACATTTAGCTGGAATAACAATAAGTTGACAATAAATAGAGTATTTGTGTGATAAACTCCTTAAATCAATACCAGAAATAATCTCAAAACATAATACAAATAATTATCACAATTGAATAATTAGTGCCTCTTCAACCTAAAGTGTAGTCTCCTTAATAGCCTGCCTGACAAAAGGGGAGACTGGGAAGGAGACTGGGAAGGAGACTGGGAAGGAGACTTCCTAAAGTGATCTTCCAGAAGCACACTCATATTCACTATATTGAAACAGGTCTCTGTGATAACATTGCACATAAATCATTCTATAATAACTTGTAGATTTGTCACACACTGATTGGATGAGAGCTATTGGCAATTAGAGTTTAGACAATGGAAATGACTAAGACAGTCACACTTGTCACACAAAACAATTAACAACTGAAACTGTCAATAATAGTACAGACAACAGAAAACCACCTGAGAATTGTTAAATAGACGGTGTTAAATTAGAAATCAATCCCAGATCAAGCAAACAAGACAACAGAAAACCACCTGAGAATTGTTAAATAGACGGTGTTAAATTAGAAATCAATCCCAGATCAAGCAAACAAGACTCTTTATGATAAGTATGGATTTAGTGAGTAGTTTACCTCTTTTTCTAGTTCAGTGTGTTTCACCTGCAGTTCTTGTAACTTGGAATGAGTATCATGGTATGACTAGAACAAGGAAAAACACTACTTAGTCACAAATTCATTAAATATTTCAATAAGAAATATTATGTGCATCATAGTTGAGCATTAGGGTTACATGGTTGTATTGCATCAAGTTTGAGTGACTTTGAAAACTCTAGTATTTCACTACAATACATTGAGCAAAACATTGGAGTGTCAATGTACACTGCACAAAGACTTTTAATGTTAAGTGTATGTAGTTCTAAACCAAGAGATATAATCTGTGTGTAACGTGACATGTTATCATTCTTCAAACCTTTCTATCAATGTACTCACCTTCTCTTTTTCTCCCTTCTCTTGTAAAAGAGCCTGGTGCTGAGTGTTCAGTTGTTCATATTTCTTCATTACTTCAGTTATTTTCTTGTCCTTGTCGCCATGGGAACTAGTCAACTGGCTTCTCTCAGTCACAGCACCCTCAAGCTTCAAACTGACTTCCTTGAGCTCATTTTGTTTGGATTGAAGCTGAGATTCAAAGTTGATGCATTTTTCCTTCATAGGGGAAAAAAAGGTTAATATCGAACTCCCTTAGATATATAATGGCATCCAAGTTAGTAAGGCTAATGACAGGATTAGTTATCCATTCAAAATAGGTAAATATTATATGCACTGCACCATTAAACATCAATTTATTAAKAAAGGTTTTTTATGGAGATCTTTTATACTTCCAGAACCATTTAAAGATATAGGTAACAATAATTACAAAAAAAACCAATCAAAAATACTACAGTTTACTAGTATTTTATTGATAATGTGAGAAACAATATTGAGTAGTTTCATTACTAAAAATAAATCATTCCAACATAATGCTGTCAGTCAAAACAAAAGTCAGTACACTTAAAACAAAAGTCAGGAGAGAAAGATATAATTAATATCTTTCTGTAGACAGATAGTCAACATGGACAAACAAGATCAATATACAAAAAACAGAGACCAAAAGACAAATTCTTGGGGAAAAGGACAGAAATCAAAAGAGTTGAATTGTGTACTTTTTAATAAGCTATTGTTTTTTTAATTGTTGTGTGGGCCTTCTAGTGTATAAATCAAATGAGCTCCAAAYTGCACCATGTAAATGCCTCTACGACTTGCCTACAACATACAACCTATGAAAATCGTATTCTACAAGTTGCATTTGACAATCGTACCGTAAATCAGCCTTAAGCAGTTTCACCATAGCTTGATTCAGAAGTTATGATTCCCTAGTCCAAGAGAATGTCTCCTTTTTTCACATTATCACTTTTTTATTTATTTGTTGTTTGCTTCATATAATCCTTGTTGATTTTTTTGTTACTTTCAACTGTCAAGCCTACTTAACCAATATATACTTCACTTAGTTTTAATGTTTTAGAAACGAGACCAAAGAAATCATTTTTATTTTAAATATTTATCATTTTCAAAATTCAGTCATGTTTCAACTCTCTTAGCTTATGGGTCTATACAGAAAGTCAATACAGCCTTCCATTCACATTAAAAGATGTATATAGAATGTATTAGACAATACACCTTTCATGGTCAAAACAACATATTTACCAACACTAATATGAGTTCTGTAGAGCACAGGGGAAATGGGGGGATATAACCCCCCCACTTAATACATGGATTTCTTGTCCTCCCCACCAATACATGGATTTCTTGTTTTCTTAAGAACAGATAGAATCATTCAAAAAATAATACTAATAAGTCAACTTAATGGATTTTAATAGTAAAACATAATAATTAATCAAGATACTACTGTTCAAGTGTCAATGTAGTGAAATGAAAAAGTCATTTGAGTCTGTTTTTAGATTTGAAGAATATTACAGTAAGCACTGCAATGACCAGTTAGCTATGGACCAMGTTGATGACCACACACCTGTATGCCAGCAAGAATGTCTAATTACATATGTCTATTAGATGTTGTCAAAATGAAAAGACATGTTTACAGGAAAAATTGAAGATTATTGCAGAAGGTTACACCTTATACCACTAAAACTAACCTTTCTACTTTTGTTTAAAAATGAATTTGTTACAACAGCAAGAACAATTTCAGCTATTGTATCTACTGATTATCACTACATAGCTGTATGTAGACTAGAAAGACTGTCAAGTGTTTAAGAGATTTTTGAGTACAAGCTTGTCTGTCAAAGATATTACTAATGATGTACAGTCCAGGGGTAGTGTTAGTAGGAGATGTTAGTATAGGCTGCTCATGATGTTAAGTGAATCTTGAATGAGCTCCATGCACATGCAAGAATATGACACACTGTTGGAACATGTACCTTAAAGCTATCTCTGTCTTGTGTAGTTGCAGTAAGTTCTTGATTCAGTTTTTCCAATACGCTTTTCTGTTCATTTAGCTCTGCTGTTAGGGATTCAGTTTCAACTTGTTTGGTGTCTGCCTGTGCAGCAGCATCCTCCTTATCTTGAGAGACTTTTTGAAGTTCTGCCTTCATGTTATCAAACTCTTTTGTCAGCTCTTCTACTAACAATTTTTGTTCATTTAGTTCCATTGTTAAGGTGCCAATTTCAGCCTGTTTAGCATCTGCAAATTCTCCAATATTATTTTTGTCTTGTACTACACTCTGAAGTTCTTTCTTTATCTCTTCAAGTCCTTTATTCAGTTTCTCATTAAGAGCTTTACCTTCATTCATTTCTCTTTCTTTAGACTGTTTGGTGTTGTGAAGTTCTAGCTTAATTTCTTCAAGTTCTCTTTCCAGTTTTTCTGCAACAATAACTTGCTTATTTAGCTTTGTTTCTTTGTCTTCTGATGTYTYCTGTAGTTTTGTCTTAAAGACCTCCAGTTCTTTCACCAACTTTTCCTTTGCAGATATTTCATTGTTCAGCTTTGTCTGTAACACTGCAAATTCATTCTCCTTGCTGTTTCTAACCTCATTTACATTTTGAAGTTCTGTTGTTGCTTTACTTAATTCCATGTTTAATTTTTCTACCTCAGACATGTGTTGACTTAAACTCATTTCTTTTTCRTTGGTCATAATTTGTAGTTTGGCTCTTGTGTCTTCTAGTTCCTTCTTTAACTTCTCTGCAAAATGTTTCTGATCATTTAATGTTTCTTCTCTTTCTTGTGTTGCATTCCTTAATTCTGCTTTTGTTTGCTCAAGTTCTTTAACCAAAATRTCTTTTTGCGATTTCYTGTTATCCAACTCTGCTAGCAAGGAAGCAATTTCAGTTTGTTTAGTATCTGCTAGTTCCCCAAAACTGTTTCTGTCACATGTCGCATTTTGTAACTCTTTACGCTTTAGTTCAAGGTCTGTATTTAATTYTTCAATCACAGATTTCTGTTCAGCTAATTCTATTTCTTTGATTTCCAGATCTTGRTGAAGTTTTGTCTTTGACAATTTCTGTTCATTTAGCTGTGTAGTTAGTGCTATAATTTCATTATTTCTGGCATTTGACAACTCTTCAAAATTATTTCTCTCATTTGTTGTGATCATCAATTTTGAGTTTATTTCCTGGAGTTTTTCACTAAGATTTTCTAAATCTGTTTTAACGCGATTGAACTCTACTTCTCTATCTTGTATTGCTTTCTTCTTCTCTGACTTTGTTACATAGAGTTCKTCATTCAGCTTTTCTAATTCAGTTTTATGCWGRTTTGAATCTGTTTCTCTACAGTTGTTGGCTTCGTGCAGTTCTAACTTTATTTTTTGAAGCATATCATTTAGTTTCTCAACTTGAGATTTCTGGTACTTCAACTCTGTATTTACAGAACCCAATTCTGCTTCTTTGGTACTCAACATCTCCTATTGGCATTTTAGAGAGAATACAAAAGTAAACAACAAACAATAAAAACAATAACAACCGACAAAACAAATTATAACATTATCACATTCTCTTTATAAAAGAACCACTACAGTCCTCCAGATGGAAGGAACATTTTGGTTTAAGGAGGCAGCAATCAAAACAGAGGTGGCTGTTGGAGTTCAACCTTTTYAATTACCAGCATCCATCAACTGGCTATAAAGCAATTTTTTTTGAAAAGAGAATCAGACAAGACTCTGATTTCCAGCGAAGAAGTTGAGAAAATAAGAATAAAGAGCATTCAATAATAATAACTTTCAAAACAGGTATTAGGAGACACTTAACCAAACGCTCCCTTTACATTATAAACATAGTCAACTAAGCAAGACAGACACCAATTGAACCATTTGACACCCACTATAGGTCACCTTTATACAAGAACACAGTCAACCTCATATGGAAAGACGCCACTTGGCGCTCCCATACTAGACACCCACTATTTTGGACACCCACTAGATTTAAAAACCACAGGTTGCACATTTGATATGCATGCAGTCTATCTAGTATGGGTACGACATAACTTTACACTTTTATGACAGACAACCAATTAATTCTACCTTCAGTTGGTAGGCATGTAGTAGTCAATCTGACATAGACAGATACCACTTGGTACTTCCATACCAGACATCCACTGATTTAGACACCCACTTATTATCGATATATTATCAGTGAGCTGCTGTTAAGATGTGTTCTAACATAGAGAATGACACAGAARAGAGACAGACACCAACTGGCAACATGGCTGTACCTTTAAGCTATCCCTATCTAATGTGGTAGTCTTTAGTTGGTTCTTGATCTCTTCAAGTTCACCACTGAGATCCTTTAGTAATGCTATCTTCTCACTGACCTCTGCTTGTAGAGTTGACACTTGACTGGTTTTTGCATTCTCACTTTCCTGAGAACCATGATTATATTTACTTGATTAATGTTATCAATTGAAATATTTGAAACTCAAATGGACCATTGATAACGTGACTAAAAACAGCATGAAAAGAGGTACTCATAAAAACACTTCACAAGCAATAATTACCCTTAGTAGGTACAAAATCATTGCCGTTTTGTTTATGTGATTCCATCTGATATTGCTGTTGAAGGTTTGCATTATATTGTTACTCAAATGAAGAATTTGCCCTATTTGTTGATGATACACCTTTTTACTTTTTTTTACTTTTTTGGTAATATAAGTGATAACAAAGGACTAACTAGTCCATTTTTATGCTTTACTAGCTGCAGTAATTACACATGTACAAATATCAGTACATAAGCACAAATATTAAACAAAGGATTTACTACCTTAAAACTGTCCTTTTCCTGTGTTGTCTCATGCAATTGTTTCTTGGTGGTCTCTAACTCTTCAGAGAGSTTTTGAAATTGTTTGGTCTTTTCGTCAAGTTGGTTTGAGAAGTTTGCGTTCTCTTCTGTTTTTGTCTGTTGTATGTTCTATGGTGGTGCATACAAAACAAAAATAAAATAAAACCAACAAAAACAAAATATAACACAATGAAAAATAACAATAAAATTATGTTATCCCTAGACTACAATATGCCAGTCTCTGAGTGAGCTGTGACATCAGGCGCATGATGTCACGAAGGAAAGATACAAGAGCAGTTTTGGCACATGGATAAAATGAAARTATCAAACAATATTTATTTCTTCTGATTAACCCTCAAACATAGTTTGAAGCCACATGATTTACAAATATTTCCATTTAATAGCTATTCATAAGCTTAATTCTTCAATTAAACACCACTTCTTGTAATGAATTGACTTTAAAACTAAGGCAATTAATAGGGGAAGCAGTTTTTTGACATAAAAAAACTACCMATACTATTTTTTCTCTTTGAAAACAACAGGTTATAAGATGATTTGCTTCAGTTTGTCTCATTCTAGCTACCGCAATGTCAGTAACTTTTCATGGTCTAATAATAATATTAATCATCTAATTATATTAATTATCTAATAATAATATAATATTACTAATTTATTCAAAATTTAGTAATATCCATTTCCTTCAAATTCCCTCAAAAGCATTATTTTTTACAACCCACTTAGCCAAAGCACCTTTACTTTACCTCTAGTTCTGCCTTGTGAGCTCCAACAAGGTTCACAATTTCATCTTTACTTCTCTCAACTTCAGTTTTCTGAGTAATGATAYATTAAATGCTTTATTAGTATATGATAAAAATATTCCAAATTTTTAGAAAGTAAGGCTAGTSTGCGTACTACTTACCAGTGAATTGATTTGATTTGTTAACTTCTTGACTTGATCATCATGTGACTTGGAAAGTTTGTCAATATCATATTCATGTGATTCCTAATGAAGGTCAAAAGATGAAATAAAATACTAGCTTTGTTCATCATTGAATATTATTACTAATTATTATGGCTACAACATTGTGAAAATCATCCTTTTTGAACAAAAATAAGGGACTGTAATATCTTCTTTCTTCCRCCTTTTTTCTAACAATAGAACAAGCACATTTTGAACATACATGTACAATGTAGTTTGGAGAAGTCACATTTTCAAAGTTTTCCTTACAGTGCCCATCCATAAAAACAGCCTCACATAAAAGTATGACAGTGACCAAAATAATCCATTACAAAAAAAAACAACAACAACAAAAATACAAGTAAATCCAATATAAGAGTTGTTAAATGTACAAATTATTATAATTCCTATTTTTTCAAATGAATCATTATCCATCCTTCAACTTCAGGTGGACAATACACTTTCTACAGCCAGACACAGATTGACAACGTACTTCATGGATGCAGCTGTCATAAGGAAAGTAGATTCACTGGACAAATTCACTTCAATCTTCACTTCATTTCATCAAGATGTGCTTACCTTAGCTTGAGCAATCTCTCCAGTCAGCTTAGATGAATTAGCTTGTGACTCAGCCAATAAGCCTTTGACTTCATCAATAACCCTAAGACATGCAGCTTGAATAAATTCAAACTAGCTGACATAGTCAATGATGATTCTAAAACAACCTTAGATTTCCTATCTATGAACAGCTGAAAACTGGTCACGAAATATGACCTTGTCATAATCTCCCTATCTACCTCACCATGGGTTTTAGTTTTGGTCCTTTAGTCACTTGAATGGGCCACGAGAGAGGAGAACACAAGGAAGCTAGTGCAATGATATTATCCATTTCATTTTATTCTTTTTTTATTGCAGCAAGGAGATTTTGAATCATTTACCAACAGCTTATCTCACTGACAAATGTGCAGAAACGACGTTATGACTCTTGATGACAATAGCCGACTTAAGATATTTTTGCACAGTGACCATGACTATTTGTCCTCCCCCCCCCTAAATGTCCTCCTGCATCCCTCCCTAATAGGAATCCTAGACCAGCCCCAAAATGATCATGATTAGCAATGGCTAAGTGGAAAATGGGTATCCACATGTTGTGACCACGTGGGAGTATTTCAAGATAATCACCATATTATGAGATTTTCTCTAGTAGTTGATTCCAGTAATCCTAGTCAYTGTGACAACCTTCTCACAAAACTACATCAGAAAGACTGGGTATACAACTAAATGAAAAAACATTGCAAACAGATGAAATCACCAAAACTAGGACTGAAAGGTATCATGGGTCCTCAGGAATTCAAATAATATAAATTGCCAAACTTGTTATGCCCTTACTCATGGTAAAAACATCATTCCAATCAGTGCTGGCAGTCTTCTAGCACTGAAACACGGTAGTTATACYCATATTTGCTTTCTCATGCTCCCTTTAGGTTTTAACCTACCCGACTATGTTTTTTCAATTTGCTGTATAATAATACATAGAGAGATGCATTTTCTAGTGTGAGTATGATTAGTTACTGCCATACCTGTCTTTCTCTCTGAGTTGATCATTTAAATATGTCAATCTCTCGGAATTACTTCCTGAACTCTTCATTAGCTCAGCAATCTCATTCTCCTAGAGCAACAGGAAGAATTCAGTCATTAGTGGATCTTATCATGATTAAACAAGTGTTGCCAATTCATTCTTAGTTTCCACATGGTGTGCAGTATATTTCTTGAAACATTGAAAAATCTARAGTTCAATATTTTATTTATCAATACTTCATTTATCAGTACAAAGATGAGCTGGTAACATTCCAGCAGTGGGTAACATTATCCCAAATATTTCATGTGGTAGCTACTAAGGTTGAATGGAAACTCTAGTTTGTTATTGTTAGTGCTAAGCTTGTGCAAAGCAACATGAGCAAATTAGTAGAAAAGTCAATTGCCAGGGTGCTATAAATCAAAACCATGCAGGAGAAAGACAGGCATTCATGCAGAGTAAAATAATGTGCATGCCAGGTTAAAGTGTGGATGTAAAACAATAATGACACAACATATTTGTTCTTAATACAATCTTTAATACACTGTACAAGTGCTCCATCTGATAAATGTTGAAAACAAACTAAAATTGAATATTTATATAGTTTTAACTTAATTTAATGTCCTTTTACCTCAAATAAATTGATAATATCATATATTAGTAAAAGGTTTTATATTATTATTATAAAGTATTGCAATTCCTCATTTTCATAATAAATATTTCATTATTTCAAAGCTTCACCCTCCCTTTCATTGTACATATTTATTTGGTACTTTGAATATAAGTTTRTAATAATTTCACAAACTATTTATCTACAWTATGTATAATGTTATATGTGCCTTATTTTGGACCCTTAACAAATGTTAACTATTT